ATCATCATGACTACCTGACCTCTTCTTCTGTTTCTGTTTCTGTTTTGCAGGAGCACTGGAATTCTCATCCTGTTACCAATAGCAAAAACTATTAATCTACTCTTTAGAACGAACAAGTAAGAAAACAAAACAAAAGAAGGATAGACTCTACTTTATCAATTTGGTCTCGAGGTATGAACTTCACTCCAGCAAGCATTGTTGTTTCTAATTGCTAAGGATTTGGACAGGGTACGTACAGTCAAACAACAGTGTCCTGCAGACAAACACAAAAGGAATAGCAAGATCCGTTACTCTCCAAAAATGAAACCCAACAATTTCATACTATAAATTAATGGTTTACATGGTGGGGTTCTGATGTTAAACGGAAAATTATACAATCCATTGTACTCGGTAAGAAAGGTCTAACAATACTGAACCCTTTTTAAGAGGGAGAAAAGTTTCAATAAGAGCTGAAATGTCGCTGCTGAACAGCATTAAACTTTGATAAAAGATGTAATTTGGATTGTTGGAAGAACTGATCACTGTAGATAAATGGTAGCAACTAGAGCTGTGAATAAAATGCCTTTCTAATCTTCCTATCAGCCAAGGATTGTTTCCAGAGACTGAAAGCTGTGTACATATTACACACATAACAATTACTTCCTTTACTTTCAAGTCATATTGACTCACATCATTAATGCTTATTACTCTTCCGTACTTGCACCATTGCATTGTAAAAACTTCAACAGGCAACTAGCATCAACTTACCCGCGAGTTGAAACTGAAGAGCAAACTAAAAACAAAGGGCGTATATTTAAATAGAAGAATCCAGACCAGGTTGGAAATTGAAGTTCTTGTTCTCGTTGGTGGCCAAGAAAGCAATGGATTCAAATATCAGCAGAATTCAATTGAGGCATGCGTTGAGAAAAACGAAGAGGAGTTGATGCAAGCAGAAGAAAAAAGGCAACAAAAGAGGAAGGGTACTAAAAACCGATCAATGAAAAATGAGAAAACCCAAACTTCTGTTATTGAAACCTAGCATTTCAAGTTAAGCACGCATATAAATTCTTGAAAAATTAGAGAATGAAATTACCAGCAGCGGCGTGCTTTGTGGCTATGGTCTGCAAAGGGCATTCACTATTGATTGATAAAAGCTCATGTTGAGTCAACCCTTAAGTTTTTGTACCGAAACCCAGACTAATTAGATTGGATATGACTGCGAAGAGAAGGAGAGAGGGAGGAAGAGAAGGAGAGAAGGATATAGTTGGTCGTGGAAGGGCAAATCTGTAGGGGTTAGGTTGGGTCGGCGTCGGGAGGGTTTGTTGGGGTGGGTCGCTGGCGGATTTGTGGGTTGTGTCGGAGAAGGTGGCTAGGGGAGAGACGATGAAGGTAGAGAAAATTCTTTGTTTTGTTTTTTTAAATTTGTTTTAATTATGTTTTAAAAATATTATGTATTATTTTAAGGATTTTTTTTATTGACACATCAACACAAAAGTGAATCCTTCACTTGCCATGCCATTAAAGTTAAAAGATTTTTGAATTGAGTTAACGATTTTTTTTTTTGGTCGAAGGAAAAGATATGCCATTAACTTAGCAAATTACAAACAGGCCCAATACAACAAACAGAAAAAAAAACAAAACAAAAGCACAAACAAACAAAATAAAAGCCCAACCATAATACACAGAATTGAGTTAACGATAGGAGGCAAAATAGGTTACCAAATCTCAATCAAGGATGAAAGCTGGTCATTTTGAGATTGGAGCAAATACATTTAGCTAGTCGCTGGGGTCTATCCTCAATTCAAACACTCAAATTGAAATTTTTGTTGCCTGATTACATTCACAATACACATGCTTAGCTATACCAACTTTGTTTTGTAGTTTTCAATTAAATTATTTTGATGAAATTCACAATTCTATGTAGTATATAAACAAGCCAACGACAATTATGATTCAAACAAACAATTACACAATTCATTTATGTCCTAAAATTCTAACAATTCTTTTTGCTTCTCATGTTCCTCTTCCTTGTGGAACTTCCAAACCGAAGCCATAATGCCATTAGAGGTTGAGCATTTAGGCTTTTCCCTTTGGATCTGCAATATCAGTACATAGCACTTGTTAAAAGCAAACATACACTTAAAAATGTAGAAAAAGCATATGTGATTTTACTCTTTGCTTAGAGTTGCTCTTGTGGATCTTCACTGTCTTCAACTCATCTGGTCTGTTCTTTAAGTATTCCTTCAACTGCTCCTCATTCATGGCATCTATCATGTTGGTCTGTCAAAATGAGATGAAAAAAAATGCATATGTTAAGTCTTTTAATGTCACAGATTGTGTTTTACCAATGTAACATCTCTCAACGCCTTTGACCGTGCATTGGTTTCACGGTGTAAGAATCAACGTGATCAATAGTCCAAATGATTTATGACATGCTCAAGTGAAAACCAAACATCTATAACATGCATACGGAAGAAAAACTAGACAATAGAAAATGAATGAAATATAGTACCCATGTTTTCAGATCCTCTATTTGTTTTTCCAGGACCTCAGCCTCCTTGTCTGCAAGGCTTTTTCTCTCCTCCCATGAAATAACTCTAGGCTCTATTGTTGTCTTTGGTTTCTTCTTTCCTTCCCTCGTTGTAGACATTGTTTTCTTCTGATTTCAAATAACCAGCAATTTTGGAGATTGAATCAAAGAACTGAAGTAAACCTGCAATGAAATCAATACAAATAATGAACATGTATTTATAGGAAACTTTAAGTAACGGTTGACTTAGATAATGGAAAAGTACATATGATGGTATATACATTAAAGCTAGACAGTTACATACCTTTCGAAGAAAGAAAAAAAGCGCTAGACAGTTGCATGATGAAATACGTTAAAGAGAAACAAGAGCTCTTTCATATGTTGCCAAAGATTTCAACCTTTTTTCTGCTGCAAAGAATGCATTTCGAAGAACCAAAACCCCGTGCTCTCTTTCCTCTCAATTTTTCAAAGGGTTGCTTACCCATTACATTTAATATTGTAATTCAGAGTTTTCTTCGAGAAAATAAGGTTTGCAAAGCGATAGAGCTTGTTTAAGTAATGCGTATGAGGGATTTAGCACCTAATGATGCAATCATTTCAATGTTACTCGAAGTTCTTTGTAGGATGCACAAAGTGATGGAGCTCTTGAATCACTTCCCGATTTTCTTTGAGATGAATCGTTCCGTATTCATGCTCATACCCATACCGTGCAACACAAGAAAGTATTGTAGTATTCTTCAATTCAATGATATAAGATTCAACAGTGTACATTGTAGTGGCTATGTTTGCCTTTTCCAGTTGCTAATATTGATGCAAATTAGCAACCGGGAGTTAAACTGAACTTATATAAAACTTGGAACAGCTCACAGCTAGGGAGAAGGAAAAAAAACATCTTCTAGATGCCCATCTTCATTTCATGATAGAAGTTACAAAAGTTTGTATGCCTCTAAAATCCTCAACACTTGAAAAAAAAAACAACAACAACAACAACAACAAAAATCTACAACAAGATACAAAATAGACATGTAGAAACAAAAGTAAGCAAAGATCCTAGGAGCGGGTATTTGCATAAACATGCTGAGATTTAGAATTGAAAAGTGAGACCCTAATTGTCTGCTGCCCTCTTTCGACCACGACCTCGAGACCTAGTCCTCGGAACATCCTTGGAGGTAACTGGAAGATCTTTCAAAGATTCATCCTCGATTTTCTCATCACCGCTGACAAAAGGTTCAGTTTGGTCTGAACTCGCTTCCTCTTCTTCTGGCATTTTTCCAGCAATGTCTTGTTTTGAAATCTTATCTCGAAGCTCTCTTAGTTTAGCTTTTTTTGAATTCAAGACCCCAAGAAACTAGAAAAAGTTAAGGAAAATTCAGTCAAGACATTCAAGAAAAAGAATTACTTGCACAAAGATAATTCTCAATTAAATGATCGAGTTGGATAAAAACAATCAAGTCAATCAAATGCCTAATACTCATTTCGAATGATCATGCTGATTAGTTCAAAACTAAAGAACATCTGAAAAACAAAGACATAAAAAATTTGACTCCAAAACATTGCAGGTCATTCTTCATATGAAAAACCAACTCTCACAAGGGTATATCATCTGCGGAACACCACATTCTAGAGTGCAATGATTGTCAATTGTATTATATGGCAAAAGGAGTTTGAAGCTCCATTTACAAAGTAAAAAAACATTTTGAGAACACAAAGATAAAAAACAATATCGATGAGTATATCATAGAGGTATATTATGGTGCACCTTTGCATAAATAGCGGATTCAAATTCTATCTTCTCATTGGTAAGCTTCTCACTCTGTGCTAGACACTTCTCAGCTTCCACTTTCAATCTCTCAAATGATTGAGTTTTTCTCACAACTTCTTCCTATACATACACACATTCATATACTAACATGAATTAGACAAGCAACCAAATTAGACAATCCAAAGCAACAATTTGGAAGCCTAAAAAAATCAGTCTAATGCAACATCGGCTTCTCCATAAACCCAATGCATCAGGACCAGGTGTAAGTAACATCAAATGGACACAACATCATAGGCATTTATATGAAAAAGTTGACCCAACTGCGTTCCTTCAGAAACACAAAATTCTTCCAAAACATAAGCCACAACTTATCTTTGATTACCAAATTTCAAAAATTCAAAGAGGGAGTTCATATTGGGTAGATTCCAACAAAGTATATAGAGTATAGAGCACTTGAAAGTCATATCATTCATGTTCATAAAACACACTGCTTCAGTATTTTTATAAAAAAAATTACAAAAAGGAGGAAATTTACACTTAGCCCAACATTTGCATCCATGAGAAAATCCAATACTGCTGCTGTGGTTTGCTTACTATTAGGCGATGGCTGACATTTCCACCGCCATTCTAGCTTGGTCCCTTCCTTCTCAAAAGTCCATGACAACTGCACAAACAACAATTACACAATCACACACACAAATACACTATAAACACAATTTCCCCCAAAATAAAATCCCTAATTTTAATTACTCTTTTGTGGCCGTCGCCGGCATCGGCGAAGCCGTAGGCGGAGTCTGGGTGCTGAAACCCTAGGTAGCGCTCGGCCAACGCCACGTACTCCGAGACCGGCTGATCCCACTGAGCCGCTCGGTCTCTCACTTGTTCTTCCGACGCGTGGCAGATCCAAGCGTTGAGGCCGTCGGTGATGGAGAGGTCGAAGCGGGACTCGAACCACGTGCCCTTCACGTAGATGGGTTGTTGAGCTTCTTTGAGTTGGAGCTTTAAGCACGTGTGCTTGGGGCTCGGGGTCTCCATTGTTGCAGGCTGAAAGCTTTCTCTACACGCTCTGTAAAAGGAGAAACCTTGATTTTGGGTTTTGGGTCTCCGACTCTTCCCGCCTTCTTTTGATCATATGGATTAACCGATTAAAGTCGGCACCTTTTTTCTCTCTCTTTCTTCCAAAAGTATCAAGCTTTTTATATAAAAAAAGCTTTTGAGAGTATTTGTGATAAATTTATATAAAAAATAACCATAAAGCAAATGAGATTAAAAAGAATACAAATTTATAAATAAACCCAATCCTAGACATGTATTTATAAAAAAACTCAAACACTATTTAAACATAAAAATACACCCAAAATCAACCCCAAAGTCAACAATTGTACATTTTTTGGGTGTGTTTATAAAGTGTTTTGAGTGTTGGGTTTTTTTATAATTTCAGCTCCCATTTTGGGTGTTTTAGTGAAACTCCCTAAAAAGAATGGTCTTTCGCATAGGTTCATGATAACTTTACATTTTAGACAAAAATCCTTCAAGTTCAATATTTCAGTAAAATATCATGATGTACTTTTAAGTGAAAAAATTATGATGCATTGAGAACCAAAATAAGTAGCTAGTTGAAAATTTGTCAATTTTTTTTTATAACTTTCTCTATAATAAAATCATAAAGCAATATGACCGTAAAATGACATGGTCAGTGTCACTAACCATAACACAAAACAAAACAAAAGCAGTGTCAGATTGGCATCGACGGATGGAATAAGCACACAAGGGCATCTTAGGCAGCCGTGCGGTACAACCCCATCTTAAAATTATAACTAGTTTCACCAATCAATCAACCAAAGCCCATCCAGAAAATCATGTCTCTGAAATTCTCTCACTCAGCAATTATTGTGCTCTTTCTCTGCTCCTTCACTACAATCTTAGCTCATGAAGATGAAGACCCAACAATCAAAACAATGGATGATTTCTCTGGCTACCCTATTCACGAGCCACACTTGAGCTTTCAGAACACTGTCTCTTCACTATCCGTTGACACTCGGAGTTTGCAGAAACAGGTACTTAATCAAATGTGACGAATATTACAATTTCTTGATTGGTTTTTACCAATTTGGTCACTTTGGCTTATTGGGTTTTATAAAGTGTCTCATAAATAAAGCTGTTTGAGAAACTTGGGTGTGTTCATTTGTTCATATCTGAGCTAATTTTGTGAATATTTGGTTTTTAGATTGATGAACTTTCAACTTTCTCGGATACACCTGCCCCATCAGTTACCAGGATCTTGTACTCTGACAAGGATGTATTGGCTCGTAGGTATGCATGTCATTATATCAGTATCTATCAATCAAAGCTTAAATTTTAGCCAATCCATTCCGATTTCTTACTAAATTTTGCTTGATTGTAGAATATCAGCATTCTGTACCATTTATGTTGTATGTATAGATTGACGCGCAATAGGCTACATGCATTTTGCATCTCAGTGGTGTGTTATATATCTTATATGTTGGAGTTGGAGTAAGTGTAAGAATTTTATTTGAAGTTTTTTTTTCCATGATAAAAACAAATCCAACACATTGAGCATAATAGCGGATAATGACAGGATGAGAACTCTGGTAATGCATACAAATATTGAGATTTAACCTTTGCTATGTCTCTAATTTTGTTTTTTTTTTTTTGGTAATGTTTAACTGCAGATTCATCAAAAACTTGATGGGACTCTCGGGTCTCTCTGTTAGAGAGGATGCTATTGGTAACATATTTGGTCGGTGGTGAGTGTACTTTGCCCCAATCTTGTAACTTTTATTTGTATTCAATTCTGTCATTTTAACATGGTACGGTTATAAACTTGGGGTTTCAATTAAACTTTGGAAAACCCTGATTCCCAACTTCTTTGGGTGTGGTAGTTTGGTACTTATCTGTTTTTGTCCTCCTTCGTCCTTGTAGCCCAGAGCTGGGCCTTGTTTAGTTTGGTTACATTGTTCTTTATGTAACACTTTCATTTTGTTGACCATGTTTTTGTCTTGCTTTCCTATATGCAGGGAAGGCTATAACCCAGATCTTTCTGCAGTTGGAACTGGCTCTCACATTGATGCCATTCCATACTCCGGAAAGTATGATGGGGTTGTGGGTGTTCTAGGTGCTATAGAAGCCATCAACGTACTAAAAAGGTTTGCACCTTTCGTGAGTCCTGGCTGATGTTAATATGCACCTAGGTATTAAAAAATTTCGAAGTCTGAACATAAAATTGCCATCTTAATTTATTTGGGCGAGCCTGGAGCCTTAGCATGCTTGATTTGGCTCCACGAGATATTCTCCCTGTAATGTATCCCTTTAGCATTTCTATTAGCAATTAAGTTTTACATTCATGGGTGATCCAATTTTATTTATTTATTAGCTAAGAGGCTTATAATTAACTCTCTTCTGGTAGTATAAGTTAACCACATAGATGCACGGTTGAACTATTCAGATGGCCATCTGCTTTCAAACCAGAAGTAGGATAAGTCTGGACCCAAGGGGAGTTGATCTCAACACACTCATCTATAAATGATTCAGCAAGAGACTGGAAACATTTGTTGTAGTTGAATAGTATCGTACCCTTTCATCCAAATATACCCCAAAAGTGTATAATAACATTGGGTTTACAGCAACATGTTCCATGGTATCTTGATTTTCATTTATCATCTTATAAGTTGAATTATTGTTTGAGAAACTTAATGATGCAAAAAATCAAAATCAATTTAAATCATTTGCAGTCTCTGGAAAGGGAGACAAGGATGAAGCACCAAACATGTCTATCCTACATAAAATACTAATTAAATCAGAATATTGAGTAGATTGTAACATTGTGGAAGTATTGGTAATGGAAAATATCCTTATCAGAAAGTACAATTTCAAATTTTGTATGTGGCTTTCCTAAGGTGAAATGTAGTTCCAACTCTCTGTTTATGCAACTGGCTGTTTGGCAGGTCTGGGTTCAAACCTAAACGATCGCTGGAAGTTATCTTGTTCACCTCAGAAGAGCCGACACGCTTTGGAATCAGCTGTCTGGGAAGGTTAGGACCGCTTACAGTTTAACTCACAAGAAGCCATACTGATGTTTCAGTTAATTTTCTGCTCAAAACCTTTTATCCACTTTATGTTTTAATTTTTAAATTTTGGCTTGACTCCAACAATGAGGTGTATTGATTTAGTAAATCCATTCTACATTTTCCCTATATCTAATTAAAATATTGTGCAGCCGCCTAATGGCGGGGAGTAAGGCACTTGCTAATGCTCTGAAGACAACAGTTGATGGTCAAGATATTTCCTTCTTTGATGCTGCACAATCTGCTGGATACACCAAAGATGAAGGGGACTTATCCAGCGTGTTCCTGGAAAAAGGAAGCTACTCTGCTTTTGTGGAATTGCATATTGAGCAGGGCCCTATTTTGGAGGATGAAGGTAGGCCTTTTTTGACATATACATTCCTGACATTAGGCATCGTATCTTATACCGATCAACCGTGTGTTTTTTTGGTCCAGGTATATCAGTCGGCATTGTAACAGCCATTGCAGCCCCAGCAAGCATAAAAGTGGATTTTGAAGGCAATGGAGGCCATGCGGGTGCTGTCCTAATGCCAAATAGGTGAATTATTTTGCAGGCTGTAAAAAGAGGACTATATCAACTGGTGTACTTTCCATGTTGAAGAGGTCCAGGATTATATGCAATTGGCCCCCACCCCCTACCCCCACCCACCAAGTGTTCATGATATTTCCCCAATAGTTTTTGAAAAAGGACTCGTCCTGCTAAACTAATTATTTTTTGGGTTAAAATCAGAGTGAGTTATGAATCTGTATAATATTTCCTTTTATTACTGAGATTGCATTACAAATACAAGTTCTACTGCAGTTTCCTCGCCTGAGGTTTTCAATTTTGCTAATCATTCTAAATTTTTCCTTCGATTTATTTTGGTTCTGTGCAATTTTGACATCTTGGTTTTTTGCCCCTTTGCTCATTTCAAGTCCCTTCCAGGAATTACTGTGACTGCAGATGCGCATCAGTAGTATTATATTTCCTAATGTCAAATATGAGCTATCTTGAATGAGGTCATCCTTACCAGTTTCTTGTTATACTTGTTCCATTAAACATGAAGCATAACTGTTTCATACATCATTTGTACCAGAAATGATGCTGGACTGGCAGCTGCAGAATTAGCGCTAGCTGTTGAGAGACATGTTTTAGAATCTGGATCTATTGATACTGTTGGTACAGTTGGTAAGTTGTGTTTCCTTCACACCTAAATGTAGGACAATGGCTTAATTCTTTGACTTTCTTCAATATTTTGTCAAACTGTTTTAGCGCTCGTGTTGGCTATTGTTGTTAATAATTCCTTTTGACAAGGTATTCTGGAGCTACATCCTGGAGCCATCAACAGCATCCCGAGCAAATCACATCTAGAAATTGGTATGCTTTGTGGGATTACCTTTTCAAGTACAGCATACAATTTATAGTACCAAGTTGGTTTTTCCTTACAGTACTTTGTGGTTGTTAAATTTACTGAAGTTTTAGAAGATCATTGTATATCCCTTTCTCATGGCTTTGCCATAATTTGAGCTTTTTGGATACCAATCTTTGGATTATATATAATATATGTATATTTTTTTCATTTTGCAGACACAAGAGACATTGATGAAGAACGAAGAAACATTGTAATTGAGAAAATCCATCAATCTGCAACTACTATAGCCAGTAAACGTGTGGTCAATCTATCAGAATTCAAAATTGTAAATCAGGATCCACCAGCACTTTCTGATAAATCAATACTTGATGCAATGGAAGCTTCATCGAAAGAGCTAAACTTAACACACAAGTTTATGATTAGCCGAGCTTACCATGATTCACTGTTCATGGCCAGGTAAGAGAGAGTCTGGAAGTTCTACATTTATCCCTGTGTCTCACCCCCGAGAAAACAAGAAAAATGAATAAACAAAACCATGGTTTATTTATCCCATGTTCATCAGAAGTTCAGCTGTTTAGTACATGCTTATTCATAATCCGCAAAGGGTTACTTAGCATTTAACATACCTTTATTTGGAGAAATTCAGATGGTGAAGAGAATGCCATAATTATCTTTTTCCACAAATAGATTCTGATGATATATTTTCATATCCTTGCAGAGTATCCCCGATGGGTATGATATTCATTCCATGTTACAAAGGTAGAATATCCTGTCTATTTTTGTCTACAAACGAGGAATCATTTCCACTTGCTGGTAACCCTATGATGGATCAAGTGATCGATACAAGACTCGTATATACTGACGTCCATTTGGTTTTGCAGGTTACAGCCACAAGCCTGAAGAATATGCCTCCAGTCAAGATATATCTAATGGGGTCAAGGTTTTAGCCTTGACCCTTGCCAAGTTGTCATTGCAGTGATGTTTCTTCCATTTTAGTGTTGTTGGCTGGATAAACTAAGTTTACATATTTGGGGTATATCGTTCTGTTTACGCCCTTGTGTTTCTGTAATGATGATTTGTATGTATACTTTCCATCGAAGACTCTATTACCACGTTAATTGTAAAGAAAAATCAACCTTCCACAAATTAGTTGAGGGAGAGAGAGAGAGAGAGAGAGAGAGAGAGAGAGAGAGAGGGCTGAAAGAAAAAGAAAAAAACTCTGTAAACACCATATTATTTATTGTCAACAGTAGGTTTGATCTCAGAACAGGGAACTATAAAGCAAGGAGCATGTAAGAAAACATGCATTGTGAAGCAAAGGACTAATCTTGTTTCTCTCATCTATCTCATATACATCATCATATGTCTCAAACTCAAACTTTACTGAAAAAAGAAATTTCTGAAATCCAAAGATGGAATCAATTTCTGAGTCAATGCCTTCATGCTACAGCAACAGCGGTCACCTCTATTTTCTCAGCCTTTTCCAGCAAAATCGCAATCTATGAGATCACACAAGAAGGGAAAATTAGGGGATTAATGCAGAATAATTACAATTTAGCAAATAACATGACAATTCTGATAATCAAAGGCAGGCACAAATTCCAGCACTTAATTAAGAAGAGATTAAACAACCTGAGCCTTGAGAACAATCCGTCCATTTTCAACATCCACCAGCTTTGAGACAACAGTACAGGTGCTTATCTCTGTTCAATCACCCCAAACAAACCATTATGATAAAGATATTAGCAAAATAGCATTGTAAATGAAACAAATATTAATTGAAGCCATAAATTAAACTTACTCTTTTCAACAGCCAGTCCATTCCTTTTGAGAGTCTCAGCAATTGTGATCACAGTAGGAATAGCTGTACCAAATTACTTCCCCAAGTTAATTAAAAGAAAATTATGCATCTTGAGAAGATAACAAAATTACCAAACAATAGCAGATACTGCCCAAAGAAGACCATCTGCACCCAATATTGTTACTCAATCACTCAATAGTATGTGGAAATAAATAAATATGCAAGAGAAAAGGGGGAGTTTCAAGAAGTTGTACCCATGCCCAAGGCAAAGAGCTCAACAGAATTGTACTGCTTGATGTACCTCTGCAACAAACAATAGATCATTCAATAAAGCTCCATTACAAAGAGGCAAACACAAATTAATTCACTCACAAAATTGAAGAACCCTAATCACTCAGAAAATTGACAAAATTGCAATTCAGATTAATTCATGTACTGGAATTGTAAACTAGTGGATTGATTCAGTTCAGGGGATAATGAACATCCTAAAGCGCCATAAATCTTCCGAATTGTGAATAATGGATACATTTTCTGGTTAATCAGATCAAGATTCGACAAAACATTGCAAGAACGTACTAAAACCCTATCGGCCATCCATTAATTTTATTTCCCTCTGGTTTCTCATCAACCAAAGACGCATGAGACAAGAAAGCGAGAGAAAACGTATACACATTTCTATGAATATATAGATTATACCTTGGCAAGATTGCAGTAGAAGAGGAAAGGTCGCTTGGAGTTGGAAACATGAATTCGGTTCTTGTTCATCTTCTTCGTCTTCTTCTGAGACTCAGCAGCAGTAGCAGCGATATCAGCAGCAGTAGCAGCGATATCAGCAGTAGTAGCGTTCTTGGCCTCGCCACCATCATCACCAACAACAACAGGCTTCTTGTCGTTCGCTATCTCCATGGCCTTGAGCTCCTCTGCAACAACAGCTACACTCGCCTCCATTGAAATCTCTCTCTCTCTCTCTCTCTCTCTCTCTCTCTGTGTGTAAAGGGCGGGAAAGTTTTGATGGAAAGCTTCGTGAAATGTCTGAGTCGAGTGTGACGGGTTTATATCGGCGGGCTGGGCATGCTGTTCCAATGAGAAATAGACACGTGGTCGTGTATGATTGGTTGGGATGTTCTTGCGGTTAGGCTCTAACGGTACGGTTAGGCAAGCTGTAGAGCGCAGTGGTGGTAGTTGCTTAATTCCCAGTGACGGATTTGCCCTTGTGAGCTTCTTGGAATTGCAACATTACCATCTGCATTGAGAACATGAATTGTAGGTCCGTTTGATTTCATCTTGACCCTAAAAGAAATTGAACGATCAAGCCCAAGCCCTATTTTTGGGCTTATTTATGTAGCCCATAGTAAATTTTTGTAGTTCACCTAATTTTTTTCCTCTTTAATTTTTTCTCATTCTCCACCAAACATGTACTTATTGAGAAATAATTTGTTGCAAGGAGCGTGTAGGTTAATTGGTTAAGAGCATTCAGTCGTGAGTTCAAATCCTCTTTCTCCAATATCTTTTGCACTCAAAAAGGAAAAAAAAAATTAATTCCTTCAAGAAAACCTCATATTTGATAAATTAGTACTCACTTCACTAATGCAAATGTGGGTTAGGTAGTTGAGGAATGCACTGTGCATGCTCCCTTGTATCCGAGTTCGAACCTCCTCCTCGTACATTAAAATAATTTAAAATATCACCTTTTGAATTTCTTATGTGTTAGTGACGTGGGGAAGTTCCGTTTCTTCTTATGACCATCCATAGTAAGCCATCCATAGTAAAGCAGAAGAGGAATGAAAGTTTATCACATAATACACACAAAACTTTCACAGGCAATCATGTCCGTTGGCATGTTAAATGTCCAATGTGGGACCCGTGATCAATGGCTCAATGTTGAATTTCAGCCGTGATATGGGGGATGTGGGCCCCAATCACGGGTGTGTCCCTACATGAACTTGATTTATTTAATATTACATGCCTTAAATGGCACCCTTTCTCCGACTTCCTTCAACAACACCACAAAAGTCATAGAGCCTCACAGCTCACAAGCTCACTTACATACACCCACCCACCGGCTCATCCTGTCCATTACTAACTACACATTTATCTGCTCCATAATCTTCATTATCTTCAATTAATCTGCCATTCAACTACCCACTAATATCAATTATAACCTCACTTTCGGTTCACCCCACAATTGTTTAGACCCTTTTCCTCCCACCCACTGCATGTTTAGGATTCTCTAATTTGATAAAAATTAATTACCTGAGGGAGGTTGAACAGTCATAATCCTCCATCTTCATTTTTTATTGTTTTGGATACCATGTTACCTGCAATTAAGATTTCTAAACTTACGTACAACATAGGAATATCAGCTCTCAGTTATCGCATGTGGGTCTTGCATTGTTGCATGCATAAATTATTGAAGATGTGTAATTGAATTTGTAAAAATCCCAAGGTGTTAAGAAGAAAGAGAGATAGAAAGATAAAAATATCGTATTATCATATACCGTGTAAATCAACAATGAAGTAAGGAATGAGGATCAAACTTAGAACATCTACGATCCGTATCACACAAAAATTAGTAACCCTACAAATTTAAAGCTGTTAAGGAATGAGCAAATACTGTATATCAAGTTTTAGTTGATGCTGCACTGCACTGCCTCTTTTCCCCCCCTCTAATAAGATGAATAAATCAGTAATCACACATCAAGTCGGAAAACACCTAGCAGATGTCCCGAATGACATAGCTGTTAATAATGAAGTTTAAGAGAATGAGCATGGTTATTATGGGTATTTTGGGCATTTAAAGAAAATAAAGGGATTGATGGATTAATTAGAGGGTGTTGGGGCTTTATCAAAAGGGTTAAGCAGGAATAATCAAAGGAGGGGGCCTATGCAATAATTACAGATGGAACGTTTGCTCTTTCATTGCTTTTTGGTTAAGTCATGAACATCTTCTTCATAATTTGACAACCCCTCCGTCAAGGCCTCTAACCCTCACGTTTAGCACCAACAAATTTGCCAAATTATCCTTTAAAAAATATTTTTTAAAGGATAAAAAAGAAGGATTAAAGTTAATCATATAATTAAGCACTGCTTTCAAAGAAAATAATAGTAATAATATACAACATTTTCCCAAATCATGCATTTATAAATTAAACAAAGCTGCTAGTTAGTTTGCAATGCTTGTAGTTGGTCAATTCTCCTTCAGTTCAAACCCCAAATAGTCAATTTAAAAAAAGAAGGCTCTATCTAGTTTATTTTATTTGTTGTTTACCCATATGCTTTTTCTTTTTGCTAATTTTTGGGAATACCAACGCATCTAAAAAGAATGCTTTAATGCTGTCAAAGAAAGAAATAATGCTTTAATGATTCTCTCCCAACAAGGTATAAATTTGTTTGTCCTAAAAAAAAAGGTATAAATTTGAAAATAGAAGGAGCTCCCTTTCCTTCTAAATTGTAGTACTTTACCACTCTTATTCTTTGTTAATGAAAAAACACCTCATTACCACTAAATTACATAGAACTATTAATTGGCCAATGTATTCTAAGGTTTAGTAATGTCATATTTTTATGTATTCTAACGTAATCGTTAGTGGAGACGCACTAAATTGTCTTAATGTTGATGTTACATCGTTCCGTTATTATAATAGACATTTATGGCTATTGACTTTTTTGGCTGAATTATGAATGCAATTCTAGAATTTTTTTTGAAAGAAAAAGTTTAAAGTTTAAGAGAGACGAAAATTGAATTCGGAATTGTGAGTATGAAAACAAGTGTTCCATTAGAGTAGTGAAGCTATATTTTAGAAAAAGTTATCGATTGAAAAATTACTTTAATAATTAACATACAAAAATATTATTTATCCCTCCATATTGTTATTTTTTTTCATCCTTCTCATTTTTAATGACAAATTCTTATCCATACCTGCAAAAAGTTGAAAATTAGAGTTCATTAATTTATTTCAAGATAATGATTAATGAAGAAGGTGAAGGCCGTTAAGAAACGGCGTTAGTGCCGACGAGGCAGTGCGCATATATAAGAAAGCAACAGAAAACTCACTACGCTTGAAAACATAACAGCTCGATAAGGCGAGCGAGACAAGGCCCGTGCACACAGAGGCGAAGAGGCTCACTGACACACACAGTGAAATCCTCTACATCTTCTTCAAACTTCGGACTAAAACCGTGAGTAAATTACCACGCTTGCCACCTTCTCTTCCGGTTTCTGGCTTTCGATCTGCTTCAAATGCTTATGCTTGTGAATGCATGAAATGTAGCAACGATTTGTGCGATGCCGTTTTTGTTTGATCTGTTTCTGGTTATGCTTCCATGTGCATTTGGCTTGATTTTGCTGCTTTTATATGAATACCCAGATTTTTGAATCTGTTGTTTGCATATATGTGTATCATGTATGCGTATGTACTTATTTGCTTTGTGTGTGAAGTGAAGGCCGTCACTGTAGATCTTTGTTTGGATGTTGAGAAAATGCAGCACAGAAAAGATACGAAATTGTTTGGATTTTGGTGTATTTTCAGTATCTGGGGCATGAGAAAGCTAAAGCCTTTACTCAAATGTGGTTACTATTCATTACAAGTTAGCCCATTTGAGGTGAAATGGGTTTGTCCTTATATTGGTTTGCGTGTGTATGTGTCAAAGAAAAATGCCTGATTTTTTTTGAATTTAAAAAAAAAAAAAAAAACTTATTTACTCAGCCGAAGCTAATCGCTATATTGGGTTCAGTTGGGGTAATTAACCATGATAATCCGTTTTTATTTGTTCTAATTTCTTGCACATGCTCTTTCGGTGTTTGTTTGGAATATTGGGTGTGTTTTGTTTTGCATTTACTCCAAAAGATTTGAGTTGTGAGATCCTTATACCTTTTAAATTCAAGCTTAGTGTATGTTTACATATTTGTTAGTTTGCATAAAATTTGAAAGTGAAGTTAATAAGTGACTTTGTTTATTAAAGAGATTCTATATTTGTTGAAATCCCTTTGTTTTTGCTTTTCTGTCATATACTTATGCTCGTGTCGCATAATTGCCTCTTATTGAGTTTAACTTTAGTACAAAGTGCTTCTCTTTTGCTTTGTAAACACCTTGCAGTCTTTTTCTTCTGTGTTACTCTTCCTGAGACTTTATTTCGCGATTTCTCAGGTGTTATGTTGACTCATCATTGGAATTATGGAATGAGCACACCTACCTATTTTATTTCTTAGTGTTGTTCCCCTTATTTGTCTTCGCATCTCTGGTTGTTGGGAAAGCAAATGATTCTGTCTCTTGCTACTTTGTGTTAAATAATTAACATCATACTCACCAAATGCATCATACTCACTGAATGGAATAATTTTTCTTAATTGTTTGTATTCTTTATCATCTCTCCTCACTTGCTCTGACATATTTTTTGCTCAACCATCATCTTCTTTTGCTACTTCAGGGTAATCTCCATTTATCTGCAGAAAATTTAGTATACAAATCCTCCTCTTGGAAAAGTGAAACATAGGGGAGCTTTGTCCTTTTAGGAAAAAAAATTTTGGCTTTTGGAGGGGTGGTTGTGAAAGAAGGGGCGTTCTCATCTGTCTTTTAGAAACTTAATCATAATGATTCTAACTCATGTTGAGTATCCTAAACTAAAATCATGTCACATTTCTGTTAGATACTATAGCTGTTCTGCAATTGCTTTGTTTTTTTTTTCTCTTCATGTGGTGTGCCTTCTAACGTGCAATGTTTAACACATTATATTGTAACTTATTGCAATTCTATCTTTTTCACTCTTTAATCTTCTCTTGCATCTTCTTTTGTTCCCCTCTGTCCTTCATCTTCTTCTTTTTGCTAAGCAACAATAAATTAGTTTTTTTCCCAGCAGCAGCATATCCAGAAGGATAGTATCTAATATTTTCAGTTATTTATGTGTATTATTTTGAGGTGAACTTGTTCTGTATTTGGATGACTTAAAAACCGTAACTCAATTAGTTTGCAAACCA